GAGGGCGGGCCTAGGGCCAGAAGTGGTGCTCCTGGGGCCCAAGAAAGGCACTAAGTTGGTCTGGGTGAAAAGGGTCAGGATGCAGTATTGGTTCCCCAGATGTCTGGGGCCCCAAGACTAGGAATGGTGCAGGGCCCAAACTAGGAGTAGAGAACAGCGAGGGAGATGGAAGGATGAATGTGGCTTGGGGAGTCAAAGCGCGGAGGGCTGCGCTATAGACTTACCCCAAGAGGTCTCTGTTCTCTGTTTTTTGAGTTCGTTATATATTCTGGTTATTAAACCTCTGTTGGATGTGTTGCTGGTGAAGATTTTCCCCATTCTGTGGGTTTTCTGTTTGCTTCCCTGGTTGCCCCCTTTGATGTACTGAAGCTTTTTAGTTTAATGAGGTCCCATTTGTTAATTCTTGACCTTATTTCCTGAGCAATTGATGTCTGGTTTAGAAAATCCTTTCCTATGCCTATGTCCTGTAGGTTTTTCCCAATGTTTTCTTCTAACAGTTTCAGAGTTTCAGGCTTTACATTGAGGTCTTTGATCCATTTGGTGCCAGGGGTTCGAACCAGCGACCCCCGGTGAGGTGAGGATTGGGGATGAGTAAGCACGCCATTCGCCAGTCCATGCCGCCCCCATTACCCGGGGACACTCAAACGCAACGGGGAGTCTTAGTCAGGCAGAGACTCATTTATTGCAAGTGTTCCAAAGCTTACAAAGGCACCTGGAACTCCCTCCTCCCCCCGGAGGGTGTATCTTAAGGATGGTCCTGCGCTGATCATGCACTCCTCAGCAGTGCAGAAGTATTCTTCAGACTTTCAAAGCAAGCCAGGCCACACCCCCAGTAACTTCCTCTAGGACCTTTGGAAGGTGGGGCCTTTAGGTCCCCACATAACCCCCTTTTTATTTTTATTTTAAGGCCAGACTGACTTTATTTCATGGGTTACCCACTTCATAGGCAGCTCCCTGAGGAGAGATGGCTATCTCCTTCCTCTAATCTTATGCATTTTTGCCTGTCTTAGGTTGTGTCACCTCTGATCAAGCCTTGCCCGTCATTGGATCATGCACCTGGCCATGTGCATGTCCTGTCTTAGGAGTACTTGTCATGGGACATCTTACCCGTCTTTGGCTAAAAACAGTCTTAGTCTCTGCCTAATTTGGTTAGCCAAGCGTGGGCAACCAGAGGGGGTCTTGGGAAAGTCCATAATCATGAGGAGGTGGGCTGTGGCAGTTTGAACGGTCCTCTGTTGCCGAATTATCTGGTAAAGACACTTAAAGATAAGCATTATCAAGAGAAAAAAAGCAAGTCATGGCATAGGACAAGTTGAAATACTTTGAGACAATGTACCTTTTAGCCAATCAGCCAGTTGTCAAAGAGGCTGCAATGAAGTCAAGGAACTGGGTCCTTCACTTCAGATGGATATAAATAGAGGAATTTTTTCTCATTAACTATTTTCCATGGACCATCATGCTAGTCAGTCAGATCCTGGCCTACCCACTTAAGGTTTTTCATGGGCACCCATATGGGGTTTGAATCTCCTGTAGGGTAAACACAGCCAAAGCCTCGACCCATGGTTAACAATAGATCTGGTCCTTTCC